GAATCAAAAATTTGAAGAACAAAAAACAAAACCACATCTCCACCTAACTCATATTCCCATCTCGGGGATAGCAAAAAAACTCTTTCAACCCGATATTCACGAGACCTCGCCTTGAAAGGAATGAGGATGACTCGCCTAACCGAATAAATGAGATGGAGACGGAGCGGGGATCATTGCCCGAAGCGAGTATGAGAAACATAGTCCCCGCTACCCACTCCGTTTAAAGTTAATTTCAAATTTAAGTTTATATATAACAAAAATAAAAGATTCATCATCATTTGTAAAAAAGGACATGCGTTGTTTTTAACAAATTAAAAAAAAAAGTAATAATATTTACTAGTTAAAGACATAAAAAATAAAATTAAAAATTAATATAAATAAACAAACAAAACAAAAAAATAAACGGACTATTAATAGGACAGGAGACCCGCTCTGAATTTAGACGGGACAAAGTGACAAGAATATATGATGGGAGGGGAATGGGAATGGTTGAACCATCCCATACTCATCTCGTTGCCATCCTACCATCTCCTTCTTCCCCAACCCCTTACCGGCCGCCATTGTCACTGTCATCGTCAGCACCACTAACACCACACTCGTGTATCTTCTCCTCAAGGCAAATCTCACTCTCCCTATATCTATATATTCTGCATGTCTGTATAAGTGTAAAGAGAAGAAGAAATAGAGGGTCGGGAGCTGAGATTAACCAATCGTACAGAAATATCAAAATTCAAGATTGAGTCAAAAATATTCTTAGATTACCCCACAAACGCACATGCGGTACCCAAGAATTCAAGAAACAATAAACAACAAATCAACATCACATGAATTGAGGGCTTGGGTATCCAGTGGGATACAGACAATGTGCAGAGAAAAAATTGCACTGTGGATGCCTCGATTTTTTGCACTTGAAAAGTGTCCATTCTTGTAACTGTTGTTCAGTAATAAGTATTAATCTTATGGTGATTTCCCCTCCATTTTTTGGTGAACAATTATTGCAATAAAATAATGATTGCAATGATAATTACTGCTATGTTACGTTTATGAATGATGATATCCAACACTAGTTTTATCTTGTAATCCAATTCCAAAGGTTAATTATTCTATCAAAGGTCATCCAACTTTCTCCACAACTGTAATTTTCAGAAATTGGATCACTTAAAAACCTGGCGATCCATTGCATCAAAAAGTCAAAAGTAACATTCAATGGTGGCTCCTTCGAGCATATTATTTTGAAGGGTTTTTCCACTTGTACATCAAGTGGTGTACATCAAGGACTACACTCCCCTCACATGGGGAGTGGGGTCCACTAGAATAATATTTTTTTATTCGAGTGGACCCCACCCTCAATGTGAGGGGGGTGTAGTCCTTGATGTATACCGTGATGTACCGGTAGCATCACCCTATTTTGAAATTCATTGCATTACTCGTTTAAATTTAATGAACTCTAATATCATATAAAAACTTGGGAATTCATTTTGAAGGGTTAAAACTTTATTAACACGAGTAGTCCGGACTCTTACATATTGATTCATATTTTTTCATCGTGGGATTTATCCCATTACACCCAATTCTTTTAAATCTTTATATTTCGTTTTACGACTATGGAAATTCAATTATGCTATTTTCTTCAGATTTATTCAAAATAGAAATTCATTAATTTTCTTTTTTTTTCACAAATTGTCTTCACTGATACATGGTGAACAGTTGGAATCTTGCAACAGCATGCCTAAGCAAACAAGCAAGCCCCACTATTCACATTGAACCCATATCTACTTATTGATAATAGTCCCACCATCCACAGATTTTTTTTTTATAAGAAATAAGATGCTCACAAGCAACATTAGCCATTTCTTTCTTGATAAGGCAACATTAAAAAGTTAGAAAAAGTTAGCTCATTCCCACTTTCCATTATCCACACATTCTTGATCAAAAAATACTCTTGAACTGAAAGATGGGGAATAATATAGGAGGAAGAAAGAAAGCCAAAATAATGAAGATTAATGGTGAAGTTTTCAAGCTAAGACTACCAGCAGTAACTCAGGATGTGCTCAAACATTTTCCTGGCCATGTGTTATTGGAACCAGAGGCAGTAAAGAAGTATGGGATTAGGGCTGAGCCATTAGAGCCTGAAGAGGAGTTGAAGGCCAATAAAATTTATTTTCTAGTAGAATTGCCTAAGCTGCGTCAGGAAAAGACACCGACAAGATCAAGATCTGCTGTGCATATGGACGCGAAGGAGTGGATCGCGTTAAGACGACGATCAATTTCAGAGCCTCCTGGTGCAGGGTCAGGGTCTGTTCGGGTGAAGATGAGGCTATCGAAGGCTGAAATAGAAAAGTTGATAGAAGAGAGCAAAGATGAAAGAGAAATGGCTGAGAAAATTATTGATCTTTTTTTGCTGAATTCAAGCAAAGAGATCAGAGAACAAGAACATGTTTAGTTGATCAATTGTATATATATATATCCAGTCTTGGTGAACTATATAGGATTTATGGCATGTTTATTTTCTTCTTTTTATTCTTTCAAGAACTGTAGAAGATCGTAAAGCTTGAGCAGTTTGCAGTTTCTGGTCTCTCTGTTTTGATCTATTTCCTTGTTCAACTACATTACTCTATAATGTTTTCAACTTTTGCATGTTGAGCCATTTTTTAAGCAAAATTGCCTTTACCAGAGGCTGATTCAGGATCGAACTAAAGAAAATTTCAAGCTGGATTAATATGTTAAAAAATAAAAATTACACATAATAATAATAATAATAATAATAATTTTTTTACATTTGAAAAACTAAATGGGTGGACTACGGCCCGGTCCAGTTCCCCTGGCATCCACCCCTGGCCTTTACTCTTTGACAAGGTAATGGAGAAGATAAAGAGGGAGAAAAAGTTAGGAATGACGAGACGGCCCTTTTACGTCTCTCATCTCGTGGAGAAGGGGATGATTATGATTTCCCATTTTCTTCAATTACTTAGTCATTTAATAATTTTTATATACGATTAAAATTATTTAATGGATTAAAATAAAATAAAAATAAGAGTCAGTGCAGGAGCATTTCCTGACTAATCGAGGGCAGGCCATTTTGCCAATCCCCATATGCGTTCTTTCTAGGAAAATATTGCATGTGGTTCCTTTTTTTTTTACATATTAAAACGTAAATATTATTAATACAAGTGCAATATTATTGAATATGCTTAAGCAACTGAATTTGTCCATTTTTCGAGGTCTCAGAAAGTGTAGATACATATAAGACTTCTTTTACGGAAATGGAAATGAAAAGGAGATGTAACTTTAATTTCTTTGAAATGATTAGTCGATTTTATTTTTAATAGGAACAATTAACAATTGAATCCGATGATAGAAATAATTATATACCCCATAAATTGTTATGACTATCGATGGCATATATATCAATTCTTCCACTCCAACTCATGAGTAACTTGTAAGTACCCACTAGTATTAGGTAGGTAGTTGACGTCCTTATTTGTCACTGGCCCTATTCTATAAGATAAAATGTATGGCAAAATTGCTCAATTATTATATAAATTAGGAGTACAAATCACTGCCTGAATTCTTAGAACATAACGAAAGATAATTGGATTAATGTAAATAATACGAAGACAAAATGAAAATATGGTTTGGTCCTCAAGATGTTCGTGGTTGAAACACAAATTGGATTCTTTGTAACTCATTTTTTGGTAAAAAAGACTTCTTAGCATAAGATGAGAAACGATACTCATTATATCATTCTTAATTTTAAATATATTATCCATTGAAATACAAATTATAAGTAGTTTGATAGTAGGGGTATGAAGTAGGCCGAGTCAAAAAAAAAAAACTCCCGTATTTTTGGCAATTTTCAGTAAAAATAAAGAAGAAAAAAATTACTGATCGACGAGTTGGCTTGGCTCTCCACCACCAAGGGCAAGCTCGTCGAACGAATCGAGCTTGACTTCCTTGAGGTGAGTTGACTTGTGCTCGACTCGCTTAACAGATGAGTGCGAGCTCGTTCGCAAGACCGCTTGACTCGGTCCATTTAACACTTCTATGCAAGACTTCATCTGACATCTATTGAATCAATAAATGTGTTACAGCTATGACAAAAAGAATTAAAATGGTCCACATATTGCAACTTATTCAGTGGGCAACTGCTCCGATGCTTACATCTCTTGTATGTGTGGTGTAGTAAGTCTTACGAGAACGTTGACTTCACCTCACTATTGACTTGGGTCGTCGATAGGTTTTCAAAATTAATTAATTTTTTTATCGTAAGAGCATCTTCGGTGATTATGTAAAATATATTTAAATTATGATTTAAATATTTAAAGTGATCGAAAACATTTTTAATTCCACGGTCATGGCTTCATGATCTTATCCCAAGTTCACTCGTTTCCTTTCAATTCTATTAATGTGATGGGATATTTCATATTGTGACATTTTAAAAATATTAAACATTGACACGAAAAACACAAACGCGCAAGTTTTAATTTACAAATAATTGTATGTACACCACACCTTATTAGTCGAGTCCATTATAATTTCGTAATTGCAATACCAAAATCTGAATTTATTAAGGAAGGAAAAACAGCATCAAAGAACCGATAGAAACGGACATTTTTATGTGGGTGGAATCGATATGGAACTCAAAAGTTCAATTGGATTATTACAATCTTGTGTACAAAGTGGTGTCGAACCTTTTTTAATTTATTGAATCTTCGATAAATGGATAGCCTTACTCTGGCAGACTTCAATTCCTCCTTCCTTGATCCACTAAATCGTCTCGTCTTCATGGATTCGAGTCTTCTATCATTATCGACTATCCATATCAGTGTGTGCTAACCAAAATCTATGTCATCTCTGAATTTTAGGCAACGCTGCTCGTCTTTTTACAGTTTTTTCTGCTTTGGATATCCTTATAATCGTCAAAACTCAAAACAAACACACAAAATAAGAAGAAAAACTTACATTAATTAACAAGTAAATCATGGTTTGTGTTCATCTCCTTAACTTGAATGATGAGGTGAATCTGGCAGAAGATTTCCATTAGAATCATACAAAATTTTCCCCGAAAAATCCCAAGGACGACACTTCTCGCCTTTAATAATCGTTCTCTTCCAAACAATATCGTCTTCATCGCCATCGCTGAAATTAATATCCTCTTGGCCTCCTTCTTCATCCTGCACTTTTCTCCAAGAAATCATCTTAGCCATTAAAAGAGCTTTACTGCTTAAGCCACTTTTCATTCTTTTAACTGTCCCGTTTTTCTCTCCCAATCTCACACTTCTTCTTCTCCCATCATTGTTTCTCATAGATTTGTGAGAACCACACAGAAAAGGTGCAAGAGAAAACATGGACAGAACTGAAACTAGGATGATGAAGAAGATGATTGGCGCAGGCAAAAATGATGAGAGTTTATGCATGCTGATGCTCGGTAATGGCCTTGCCATGGTTTTAAAAGAAGCCAAGATTGACTTGGAAAAGTAGAAAATTGACTAGACACATACCGTTTACACGTATTTAGGCTGGACTTGTTGACTCGTTTTAGAACGTAGAACCCACATGACAAGGCTTCGAAAAAATTAAAGTTATTTTTTAAGATAAAAGAGTTTTTTTTGAATAATTTTCTAAATGTATTTTGTCTGGGTAAAAGAATTTGAATAATTCAACTTGTACAATTTTGAATTACAACAATGGATGACAACCTCTCACAAGGAAGTGGGGCCCACGATTATATTTTAATCGCGGGTCCCACCTCATTGTGAGAGGTTGTCATCCATTATTGTAATTTCTCAAAGAATTTTTGGAGAAAACTGACCAAATGATCCATTAATATTTTTACTTTCTGTAGAAGAGTTTTTAAAGGAAATTATCTTAGATCAACTTTTTCTAAGGAGTTTTACTATACAAACACAATGATTGACATAGGAGATGACACCCCACACACACATGAGGGAGGTTGACATTTTTTAATTCAGGTCTGGACACACATGCAATGTGAGGGGTCGATCAACCCCTATGTCAAGCATGATGTTCATTCAACTTAATTCTTTTCTGAAAGATCTTTTATCCAAGAAAGTACTTTAAAAAATTATTCAAAATGTTCAAAAGCAAATTTTTAATCTCAAAAGCAATTTTTGATTTTTTAAAAAATTCCCGTCAAACGAACAAGACTCTTTTACAAGAAGTAGAAGCAAAAATAGATATTCTGTCCAACGATGGAGTTGCGGTGAGTTGAAGGGGCGGCTAAAGGGTGACACTAACGCCTGAACAAAGCTTGGGCCATCAAGGACAGTGCTAGGCGATCTTGGAAGGGAAGGCATATTTGCGTTTTTAGTCCTACTGTGGATACGGGTGGAAATTTAAGTTGTAGGGAAAGTGACAACCGTTACAATAGAAAACGATTCGTGTGACCGAGTCCACTACAGAAAACGCGTCCCACCAAGAAAAAGACCACATTTTGTGAACATTTTATCCATCTCTATATTTAGGAGTGTCATTTGTCACACGCTCAAGTTGTTGAAAAACAACACACATTAACCAAAAATTGTTCTAAACTGCACATTATTGATTCGGTGAATACGTTTAGATCGTCAAAGTCTCACATGGGCTGGTAACAAATCAGTGATAAGGATATTCTCACAAACGCACAATACACGTCTTCAATCCACGTCAATAATAAATTCAAAATTTACAAATTGGTACCATTTGTGGAAAAGGAAAGTTAATTTGTGAAATATCATTCACAAGAGCGAGGATATTGAAGAAAATACGTCTAATAATACCGACGTAGTATGATTGGCCAAAATAAAAAGATGCAATCTCGACAAAATTGAATTTACTAGAAACCTAAAATTTTTAAAATTCATTTTTCTTCATCTTCTTTTCAACCACACATTCTTTAATAAAATAATATTACACATCAATTCAAAAAAAATTTCTTATTTTTTAACCACACATTTTTATCAATTTATTATTCTAAAATGCATTATTCATAAATAATGTGTATCAAACGAGCTCTAAATATCAATATTTAAATTTGCCTTTACTATTGTATAAGTTGATGATTTAAATATTGTTGGAACTCTTGAAGAGTTTTCAAATTATGTAAAAAGAATTCGTGATAAAAGATCTTCAAAAAAAAAAAAATATCTCGACTTGCATCGAGCATTTAGCCAATTGAATTCTTATTTATTAGCCAACTTATATAAGAACAATCTTGAAAAGATTTCATATGAGAAAATGACACATTCATTTGATACTCGATGGTTTTTTATTCACTTAAAGTGAAAAGAAGATCATCTTTGTTCTCAAGATGATAATAAATTGATTCTGAAATATCATATCTTAGTGCTAACGTACATTAGTTTTGATGATGCAAGGTATTATTTGATCTACATGAAACTCACCAACCAATTTATCTACTCACATAGGGCTATCATGACAATATGTTCATCAAGTATTATCTACTACGTACAACACTTAAAAAATTGATAAACAAGATATCCCACGGTATTATCACGAGAGAGTAAATATGTGATGTACTCTTTTTTTTAGTAATCAAGATTTTGTCTCATTCGGTGCATTCTCGTTTTATTGTTGACTACGATTTCTCCCATAAAGTACTGCCTGGACGACAGGTATAAAGACTTTGAGTAATCCCATTTGTACATTTTTTTATACATTAACTTTGACACTCCTCTCACAAAAAAATGTGGGGCCCATGATTTTTTAAATTGCTGGCCCCCCATCTTTGTGAGAGGAATGTCATGCATGATGTACACCAAAGAGTGTATATCAAGCATAACTCAAAGACTTTTAAAGATTTTTTGCTAATATCTCATACATATAGTTTTCAATCCATGATCAAATGGCAAAAATAAAAATAAACAGTTAAAAGGGTACATATTTAACACTCATATTCTGACATATAAATAGATAGTAAGGAGGAGAACAACAACTTTGAACTCTAATTTACAAGATTGTAATGGACAAGATTTCTTAAAGATAATTTTTAGTGCTATCGAGTGCGGTCCAATTCTCCTTATGAAACTTGTCATCGTTACAACATGCGCAGAAGTAACTAGTCGGACTGCCTATAACTTCATTACTATAAACCTCTAGATCCAGGGACATGTATCCACTGCAACTGGAGCTCTATTTCACCACACTCGACATTTCTGAGTCTGAGAAACATGTGTTGGATTACTTCACCATTTTCCCACTTAATACAACTCTCTTCTGATAGACAATTTTCCCGGTTTGGTTTTACTTTACAAATTATGGTTCCACTTGGAATATTGTGCAATCGCATCTTTACAGCTTCTACAAATGCTTTAATGTCGAATTCAGCATTTCCCATTTTGTCATCTAAACTGAATTTGTCTTTATCATAAACTTGCTGCAATCACATTGAGTAACAGATATGTTAACCATTAGAGTAACAAGACCACTATTGAATTATCAATACAAATCATAGTTATCAGGGTCGGCTTGATCATTGACTCGGTCAAAGCACCTGGTTAAAGGATCACTGGTTCAACCGTTGGGTTGTTGGGTCAATCGGGGTCAATGTCAAGTTGATTTTTTTAAAATAAAATAATAAAAAGATGTAATATTCACAAGCATTATGATATCATATATAATTTTAGAGTTACAAAATTCGGACCAGACATGATCAGTCGGATCAATCCGAAAACCTACGAGTTTGGTCCCGAATATGGTGGTATTCATGGACCAATTCAGAAGATCGTTCGTGGTTCAGATGCGAATTTGGTCCATGTATACCAGCCGATTGGACTTCGAAACCGATTCGCCGATTTTCGGACCAAACTAGTCAAACTGGGTTTTATAACACTGATACAAATACCTTAAAAATTGTTTTTTTTTTCAGTAATAATCCTTAATTATTTTATATATAGATGATTTTAATGATCCTTAATTAATCTACAAGACTGCAACAACCCTAATCCCAAATGTGCTTACATTAATTATACTTACCAACTTGATTGGAAGATTAGGGTCATCAATATATAGGGTAAGTTGATCATTCCATTCAGGGTTGACACTCCTTTTCACCACACTAGTCTTTAATTTCTGTTCCAACAATTATAAGTTAAATTTCATAAACTGAAGTGAACATAGACAAAGTTTTCTTGAAATAAAGTACGTACCTGTTTTCCCATCCTAACAATCACGTAAGGATCGCTGCTTGTACAGTCTCTTATAGCAAGGTCGATACCTCTTATGACGTTGACTCTTAGCAAACCGAACAAGTTTTCCATCTCAACAGGTTAAAAAGATAAACAGTACAGCAAGCACTTCAACAGGCAAACAAATGAAAATCAAGAAAAGTTGGGGTTAAGTGTGTCTTCGTGTGTGTGTGAGAGTGAGAGAGAGAGAGAGATTGAGGATTATTCGAGTTCTGGCTATGGCTTCTATGTTCTAACACCAAACTGAGGTGTTATTTTATTGTAATAAAAGCCAAATATATAATTTAATACATCAAATAGTTTGGCAATTATCAATTGCGGGCTTTGGACGTTGCATAAGTCAATTCTAGAAGGGTATCACACTTTACAAAGACCTGTCTAGTTAGTGATTATGAAGAAGATTTATGACTCGTAAATTTTGGGAGCACAACAGATATTCGAATAAAGAATCATCAATAACGAGTGAGGAATAATTCTAATATGTCTCATCTTTACTAGTTTAAGGGTCGTAGAGTCTTTGTTGAGAACTTCTCATTTTTTATTTTTTAATTACTTTTTTTATTTCACATATGTTGTGGTTGTAGATATTATAAAATTGCCACACTCAATAATACTTTTGAGAGAAGCGTTGATAATGTCTTCAACATTATTAAATTGAATTTACATTTTATATTTTCCAATCTTCCTGTTTTTAAATTTAGATTACTTTTTATTAAAGTATAATTTTTAATCAAACTATTTGGTGGGTTCGTCTCTTTCAAAAGTCATTTATCATTTTTGTTAACTATCTTATTCTCATCTCTTTCAATATTAAAAATATTGTCAATGTTTTGTTTGGATAAGCTTACAAGGAAATAAATTTATTTTTGTTTAAATTCTTAAATTTAAATATTTGAATATATATGTTGTGAGAAAAAGAAATTACTTATTTTGATAGTAAAAGATTATTATCAACGTAAAGTTGTGGTGACGATCAATTAAGTCACATAGACATGAAGTTATGGTGATCAAAACACGTAAAAGAGAGTTTTCTTTTGTTGTCAAAGTTGTGAAGTAATCAAGACGGGTTCTATTGTTAATTACAAGAAGATTGAAGATGGTAGTACGAAAAAGTCAAATTTCAAACTCTGGTTTGAAGAGTTTCAAATTTGGTTCTATCTATTATACTTAAAGGAGTAGAGATGCAACAGGACAAGTCGGTCATTCTCATTCCTATCCTATCGAGTATTTTTGTTACCTTGTCTCATCCTCATATCCCTTTAAAGCGGGACGGGACGGGATAAAGGCGGGCCTCTCCCCATTTATCTCCCCATTTATTTTATTTTTTATTTATTTTATGTATTTACTTAGTAAATACTATTACTTTTTTTTACCAATTTGTTAGAAACGACTTATATTCTCTTTTAAAATATGATAAATCTATTATTTTTATTTGATAAAAATCTTAAATTTAAAATTAACTTTAAACGGGATGGGTAGCGGGGCGGGACTATGATTCCCACCCGCCTCGTACCCACTTCCAAACAATGACCCTCGTCTCATCCCCGTCATGTTCACCCGATTAGGCGGGTAATCCACGCCCCATTCGGGACAGGACCCCACGGACTTTGAGTTGCACGAGTTTTTTAATCATCCCTATAAAGGATGAACGATGACATCTACTGATAAAAGATTGAGACGATAAGTATTCATATATAAACGTTCTAAATGAGAAATTTTGGATACAGGGTGGAATTGTTGGAGTTGATCCAAATTTATTGTGAATACAGAAATAAAATTCTTGTTTTAAATTTTTTTTATAACAAGTGTCATATTATTAAAGAGTCTTTTCCTTATGTGTTAATACATTCATTGTTGGGGACATTACATCGATAATGTGCATATTATATTCACAAAAAAATACCGTTTATATGCGTGAATTGAAACATAATTCGACTTACCAAAATAGTTGAGAAGACGACATAATGATTTACCGAATCCGAATACATGAATATGGACTCGTCACTTTTCATTTTTCAATGGAAGTATGTCATTGAACCTTGCAATATAAACATATAAACAAGGTTAACAATATTCTGAAATCAAACATAAATGAAATCAGAAATGAGAAAGATAAGGAAAGAAGAGATGCTAGTGATGCGATTAGCCAAGGTAAGTATTGAACACTTTTTCCTTAAGATGGATTTGTCTCGCATCGGTGCTAACGGTTTTCCGACAACCATCTCCTAAGACACAACGACCACGTCGAGCCACATGAGCACTCTAAATGACTTAGACCAACGAACTTGAACGGAATTATCTCTATACCTAACTTATGATTTTATGCAAAGAAATCACTCTTGATGAAGAGTTTTATGCAACATAACATGTAAAGAATGATATGGAATGATAAATACACGTCTAAGGGGTCTTATATATAGAGGATGAGGGGTTGTGAATGAAATGTCGTGCCCCAAGCTCAACAACTCTTGTCAAAGGTCGCACCATTCACTTTCGCTAGTCTATCGCTAGCACGTCACTTGAGCGAAAATAACAGAGACTCTGTTGCTAGCTTGTTGCTGGCATGTCCGCGAGTGACAGTCCATCAATAAGGTAGCAATAGCCTTTGTCAATTTTCCCGGTAGCTTCCTCTATTTTCTTCCCCACTTTGAAACACAATTTTTCATTCGTTCGGAATTAGTTTTGAGATTCCAAATATACTACGAAGATATACTCGACGAGTAGAACAAGTTGATCCATTTACATTTGTAATTTGACTATCGAATCAAGTCCGAATATTTGGCTAAAGTTGACACGAAAGTCACTTTTCCAAGTTTTTGGTTTTGACATTTAACCAAATTTTCGACCTTTTAAACTAATTACCAACAACCCCCCACATGAATGGAAATTCCACATATGCAAATGATAATACAGACACTAGTAAAGAGAGAGCAGAAAAATATTGCATCAGGTAAGGTAGCTTCTGGCCTTGAACCTTCCTTAGTGAAATACTATCGGATTTACTTGGCTAATTGGTGAACGCGAGGTCTTGAACCATTCAACCATTTGTGTAAACCAAGACAACAGTACTCACACAATATCTTCCCTAAACCGTTCATGGTTNTGAAATACTATCGAATTTACTAGCTAATTTGGTGAACATCTTGAACCATTCAGCTGTTGATGTAAACCAGGACAACAGTACTCACACAATGCTTCTCTAAACCGTTCACGGTTCTCATGATTGTGTTGATTTTGACCCTAAACAACTCTTAGGTTTCATAAGTGTTTAGAGAATTTTAGTCTCGAACAATTTTTCATTAAAGCGGCCCTATTTCACACTTACATAGGTGACTTCCTATTAATAGTATTCTGCCGTATTCTACTTGACTTAATCAAGATATAGGAATCATTAAAAGAGTATCTTAACCTTCAATCATTCTGCAGAAAACACTTTAATTATCATAAGAATGAGTAGGAATAATTTCCTAAGTGCTTCATAGGAATGAGTAAGAATAATTTCCTAAGTGAAATTTTCATAACTTAGTTGTCCATTTGAACC